ACAGATGCTGCCAGACCTGCTGAGCTTTTCCAGCAACTTTGTTTTTGGCCTACTCTTATTCCTTGTTTGCGTGTACATCCTCTGATAGTTAGGCAAATGATTTGATTTTTATTTTCATGTTGTTTCAAATAAAACAGGCTTCCATTTCATAAAAATTAATACAGTGAGTAATTATTTTCTGCAACTTAAATTATTTGATCATTCATCGCATTTTTTTAAATATATTTTTCTTCAGGCTCAAATCTTACCAACTGGCCACAATCTGGAGCAATAGAGTTTAATGAGGTCAGTGTACGATATGATGAGAAACTTGATCCTGTCCTCCACAAATTGACACTAAAAATAAACCCTGGAACCAAAGTTGGGATCTGTGGACGAACAGGAAGTGGGAAGTCAAGCCTGGTATTAACCCTTCTGAGAATTGTTGACAACTTTGAAGGTATGTGTTTCTTCAGTAAAAATATTTTGCATTGATAGATTTGTGTAGAGCACTTTTAATGGATAGAAAAGATATTTGCTAACAATTGTAGTGTGAAAATATGACCTTCAAATGCAGTCTTCCAACATGGCAGAAATCCCTACCCCCACTTGACACTTCTGAACCATAGGGCTTGCGCTTTCATGAAGCTTCACCTTCAGATTGCCTCTGGATATTGAATCAGCCAGTGGCTCTGGGGAAAGGAAGCAGTAAAAGATTGTATCAGGGAGTGGGGAGAGGCCACAACTAGGAGGTTGGGGAGCACGGGAAGTGCCAATCAGGAAACTGTTAAAATGGATTTTAAATCACTCAACAAGATTACAGGTTCCAATAATTTATTGATTCTAAAGCAAAATCATGTTAAACAGGGTGGTGGAACAAGTATAAACAGAAAACTTGGAATGCTAATTAATAACTCAAATCAGGATGATTTGTGTACAAATGTTGTGCTGAAAAGTACAATGCTTCAACTCAACCTGCAGTTCTCATCATTATTAATTGAGAAAGCCATCCAAATGCTCAAGGCTTAGAAGGCAGGAACAGCAAAGCTGATTCTGCGTATTTAATGGAAAAAATATGACGAGCAGGGCATGATAGGTTGAGAGTCTAGTCTTGTAAAGAGATGTCTCAGAGGGAATTTGAGATTTGGAAGATGCTTAGTAAGATAGAGAATTTAACAATGCTTTCAGCTATAAAGTAACAGAACAGAAAGCACTTGTTCAAGTCTGTTGTGAAATTTGGGCAAGATGTTGGCAAATGTTTAGTCATATAGGAAATGATCAACCAGTGCCTGAAAAGTGATTGATATCATCTAAGGAACAATTTAAACACTATAAGGAAACTAAAGTGGGAGTTTTAGGAAGTAAAACTGAAATGGACTGGTGAACATTGGCTTCAGGAGTTAACATCCGAAGTGAATTCCAAAAAGCAACATAAAGGGAGTTAGATGCTAAAAACATCCTGTAACAGGCATGTCAAAGGTTTCAAAAAGTTAGAAACTCAATCCAAATTTAGCTTTTGCTTATCACATATTCAGTTACTCTGCTTTCTCTATTTAAATAACATTGAGCTCCTCTATTCTTCCTGCCAAAGTGCATGACCTCCCATTTTCCTTCATTATAGTCCAAATGCTAATTTTTTGCCCAATCACATAACCTGTCTACACCCCCTGTGCAGACTCTGTGTCATTCTCACCTCTTGTTTCCGCACCTATTTTTGTGTCATCCACAAACCTGGCTATAGTTATTTACTTTGAATCCAAGTCATTAATATATACTGTAAATAAATATAACCCCAGCACTGATTCTTGTGGCATACCGTTAGTTACAAGGTGCCATCCTGAAAATGCTGTCCTTAACCCAACTCTGCCTTCCATTAATTAGCCAATTCTCCATTCTCCAGCCATGATAATATACTTCCTGCAATAGGATGGGCTCTTACCTTATTAATTAATCGTGGAATCTTATCAAACACATTGAAAATCCAGATAGATTGCATCCCCTGCCCAACTGATAATCAAACTTTATCCCACCACAATGCTAGATTGTGCAATGATTGATTATGGTGCAGGCTAAATGTCCTATAGATGTCTTGAAAATTTCATGGCATTTCTCATGGTTAAATTGTAGAACTAACCAGTAGTTATCATGGATCTGCTACAAATTATAGTTCAGTGTACTTTCTCCAAGCATTCCGGTGCACCCAGCATACATGGTGTTCTGAATTTGAGTTGTAATAGCCTCAATTCATTAACTCTGTTTCTCTCCACTAATGCTGCCAGACCTACTGAGTTTATCTAGCATTTTATGTATTTGTTTACAAAAGACTAGCGGCATGGATGGAAATAAAAGAAGGGGATATGAAGCACATTGGATCACGACAGAAAAAATTGCATTTATGTGCAACCTTTAATATAGATTAATGCCTCAAAGTATTGCACAGAAACATAGTTAAAAGAGGCTACTAATCAAAAGAAAGCAAGCTTAATACAGGTAACCAACACGTGATCAAAGTGGTGATCAAGTTTTAAAGTAGGTCTGAAGGGAAAAGAAGGACATAGAGAGACAGGGTACTTAGATTATAATTCCAGAGCATGGGCCCAGGTTGCTCAAACATGGCTACCAAAAAAAGAGAGAATGTTTTATGTGATGTAAACTGTGACATACAATAAATTATCTCAAAGATATATATATATAGCAAAAACAGAAATTGCTGGAAAAGCTCAGCAGGTCTGGCAGCTTCTGTGAAGATCAGAGTTAACGTTTCAGGTCCAGTGACCCTTCCTCAGAACTGAGGAAGTGACTTTTCTTCACAGATGCTGCCAGACCTGCTGAGCTTTTCCAGCAACTTCTGTTTTTGTTCCTGGTTTACAGCATCTGCAGTTCTTTTGGTTTTCAAAGATGTGAAAGTTTGGGATTCTGTTCTGTTTTGTTTTCATTTAGTAACCTGTGGGATTTCTGTATGTCTTAATTTACTAATAAACTTGTAAGTATTTCTGTAGCCATGGTGATTTATTTTAAACAGTTTTCTGAGGCCTATTTTTTGTATGAATTATGCATCGCTAATGGATTTCATTGTTTATTTTTTTGCAATCCAATATGGTAAATAATGGGGCCTGAACAATAAAATAAAACCCTGAAGAGGTTACTTAAAGCTGAGTGTATTTTATTGTGAGACTACTTAGATCATACTTTGTTTTTGGTTTTAACAATCAAGCCAGGTCTGGGATCTGATTCGTCCAGTAATAACATTAGCTGGGATTATAACCATTGAATGGGAGGCTAGTCAGAAGAATGGAGAGTTCACGAGAGTACTTTGGCAAAAATTTATAAAGGTAGAATAAAGATAGGGCATGTAGGCATTTAAATATTAGAATATGCATTTTAACTTTGACTCCCAGTTCTTCAGCACCTCAGTGTGTAGGTCAGTGAGGAATGAAATGATGGGGAAGCAGCACCAGGTTGAAACAGGATATGGGAGTACAGTTTTAGAGAGCATGCATTGTGAAGATGATTCACAGGCCATTAGAATAGACAATACCCAAGAGTTCTTGGATGAAGAATTCAATATAAGATGTACTGAAGTAGGGTCAGAGGAGAAATGACCTGTAAGGCAACTGACTTACTAACATGACCCCTGAGGTTCAGTGGCCAAATACAGATTCTGTTCTGGAGAAGGTACCATGGTTTGCTGTAAGTTACTCGAATGAAGGCCCTAATAAAATATGCCTTCACTCTGATAACACCTCTATATATAGTGTCAAAAATAAACTTTCACAAATCACAGCATTATGCCTCCAGTAATTGATAAGTAACATTCCTAAAGAAATTAGAATGTGAATTACTCTTGATGCCTTTATAAGGATTGTATTTTATACCATAATTTGAGGGTTCTACCTGTTACAAAAAGATAGAATTACTGGTGTTGTTATGACCCTGAGTGAGGTTCCCTAACTTATTGTAGTTCCAGATGGGATACACCAAATTGTCAAACTTCTGGATGAGGAGGGATGATCTGTTCCCTACTTCATTTATGCACCCACCTGGTTGGTTGCAACAAGGTTAAATGAAGAAAGATCCCTTCCCCTTTACCCCAGATCAATTGAATTTATGTTTTAAAGCAAGTCAATTTAACCAGGCTTTCATGATTTAGCAAAATAATTAGATTATTTCCTCCTAAATGCGTGAAGATTTAATGCAGCATAAATAAAGATTAAAAATGAGGCAAGTGCAAAATACTTAAAAACAGAATTGGTCTCTGACTCCATGAAGCGTAGACAATAGGATATTGCGGCCATTACATTGGGTGCTACTAGTAGCACTGATGTCGTTCGGTTAATTTCAAGAGGCTTGGCCTTGCACATCAGCTGAAAGGCCTTTGTCCCATTTCATTTTAACTGCTGTTTCACATGCTTCCAGTGAAGAGACAGGATACCAACCTTTCTGTTTACTTACAGTGCAGGGATGACTAGGGATTTTGTCAACTGTGACTCATAGCAGACTACTTCACCAACTAGCACACAGTTGAAACTAGCCTTTGACCCCTGTTGCAGTGGGGTTTTAGGTAGTCAGCCCCTCAATATCTCTGTAACCACAGTAGATGACAGCTCGCGTTATTTTGACTTGCCATTTTCTTTTTGAAGAGTAATTCTTTGAAGTTCCCTTGACATCTTTAGCTGTGGCTTCAAGTTTCCTCTCCTGACAGCCGTTGAATTTACACTCAAGCAGTAATAAAAACTGCTGGAGTTGGGATGGATCCTGCAAAAGAAGGCAGCTCCAGAAAATCATGGCAAGGTAAATGTTTGTCTGATCTGGGTTGGAAATAAAGATTCCAACCTAGACAGGAAGATTCCACAACTATATAGATTGTGCGTAGCATTGATTTCCACTTCTTCACTATGAACTGGGATGATAACATTTATTTATGTCTCAAGGTTTGTGATTTCATGCAGTTTGAGACAGACTTGCTCAAATGTCTAAATAAGCGATATATATTTTGCATTTATGCAGGTCTCTGCCTTGGTAATATTGCTTGTAGTAGGTTACTTTTCTTGACACCCTAGTGTCAAATGTTTGTCTAGATTCTGTTTGTTCATTTAAGAATTCTGAAAGTCATTTTCATTGCAGGCTGTATAAAGGTTGATGGATTAGATATTTCTTCAGTCACATTGGACCATTTGAGGCAATCAATCTCAATAATTCCCCAGGATCCAATTCTGTTCAATGGCACTATCAGGTAAATCATGGATAGCAGTAACAAAGTTATCATAAGGAACACAAAAAAAGTCGTAAAATTACAAATTATTATTGAATTTTAGTCAACTTGATGAAAAGCACCTAAAGTACTAATTTACGTCTAGATTTAATCTGGATCCAGACTCGGTTCACAGCGATGATGAATTGTGGGAAGCTTTGGAAGTTGCACAGTTGAAACCTATGGTAAGTGAATGGATTGTCTGCTGCTGTAAGCCAAATATGTTTGCAAATTCTCTCTTTGTTGTTCTTCATTTAGTTTAGTTAAAAGTGTGCAAAGTGTTTTAAAAAGATGAAAATAAATAAGATCTGTTCATTTTATGAATTGCTGGATAAAAGATTGTTTTTGTACAGTTCAGGTCACCACACTACCAAAAGGATGAGGATGCTTTAGAGAGTGTACAGAAAAGGCTAACCAGAATGTTGCATGGTTTGGAGGCTATGAGGAAAGATTGGACAATCTTTGATTGGTTTGTTTTCACATGAACATCAGATGCTGAAGGACAACCAGATATAATTTTGTAAACTTCTGAGCCAGGAGGCATAAGTTTAAGTTAAAAGGGGGATAGTTTAAAGCAGGTGTGAGGGGCAAGTTTTTTTACCCAGAGGGTGGCAAGTGCCTGGAATGTGCTCCCAGAGGAGGTGATAGAAGCAAATGCAATAGCAACATTTAAGAGACATCTTGATAGATACATGAGTAGGCCTTGTATTGCTGTAGCCACTGAAAAATTATTTTTGTAGTTCCATAGATTTCAATTTTTTAGGATTCTTTGATTTTACACTAAACAAATATTATCTTGATGTCAAAAGCATTCACTCTAGAATTCAGCTTTTTGATACACATTTGGGCAAATGAGCCCTGGAGTGGCTTTGCCCTGGGAGAATACAAACGGAATACCATTATTGGTGAGTTTGTGCTACATGCTAGCACTATTGACTAACCTTTCCTTCATTTTGCTGATGATTGAAAGAAGATTTGTACAAGGACCATTAGACAGGTTGCATTTTTCCTCCTCATTTTGGATAAAATTTAATCTGTAAACTTTCTGCATTATCAGATACATGGCAATCAGAATGGATAGATGTGCAGTTAATTCTACAGTGGAGGTCTTACGCACTGCCTCTCTCCTGTTTCTTGGCCCTATACATAATCATTACTTTGTACAGTGAACTCAGTAGTTTCTTCATGTTGTATTGAGTGAATTGCACTGTTCTCTTCACAGTGAAAACTATCTATTAATACTATTTTGGTAAATAACCTTGATCTTGATAATCTGCTACGCTCATTCCCTCATCTTTTCACTGCTGATTTTTCTGTCTGGGTGCTTATTCAATTTCTGTTTGAGGTCATACAGGAATCAGCCTCCACCACATGTTCAGGCAATGCATTCCAGATTCTAATTACTTGCTGACTATAATTAATTCTTCAATTATTATTAATTTTTTCTAGCAGTTATAAATAGGCACCTCTGGTTCTCAATTGTTGCATCAATGGGAACAATTTCTCCCTATCTACTGTCAAAAACCCTCATAATTGTAAATGCATTTATCAAATCTCCACGCAATTTTCTCTTTTCTAAGGAAAATATGCCCAAACGTAAAATGAAATCTGTCATACCTTCAGAGATTCTCAAGAATCTTTTTGGCAATCTTCAAAAGCTGTCAAGACCTTCCTAAAATGCAGAGTCTAGATTTGCACACAATACTGTCGTTTAACATGAACTTGTGTTCTATAAACAGTTCTTCAAAAGCTGCTTGGCCTGCTGTGTTCATCCAGCCCTGCACCTTGTTGTCTCGGATTCTCCAGCATCTGCAGTTCCTACTATCTCTTGTCTTCAAAACCATCTTGCTTTTATACTTTTTACCTCCAAACAGCCTAGAATTCCATATGCCTTTTTAACCACGCTCTCAAACTGTCCTGTTACCACTAGTAATTACTGCACATCGATCCTCAAGTCTTTCCTTGTTAACCTGCTCCAGACCTTGGCCAAAGTGACCATCAATAGGCAGTTGAGGAGGCCATGCCTGCCTGTCTTCCAAGGGTGCATTTGCACCTAGGTGTCACCGGGAAGGAACCATAGTCTCTACCTTTGTACGCTCGAGACTTTCCACTGCAGGATCTAGCATGCATTATCAGCTCGAGTAATGTTACTTCATTTTGATAACTTTCCTTAAAAGTTTGCTTCTGTTACGGTTTCCTTTATGGGATTGTTAGGTAAGTTAGTTAATTTGTTTATTTGATTGTTGTTTACTTAAAAGATTATGTCTCTCTGATCCTGCACCCACTTTAGAATGTATTCTACATTATTTCCTCTCCTTCGTACCAAAGTATATCATTTCACACTTCTTTGCAATAAAGTTTATCTGCCATGTGCCCACCTATTCTATCAGCCTGTCTATGCTCTCTTAAATTTATCTCTTCCCTTCACAATACTTCCAAGTATTATCATCTGGTTGTAAAGGATGGATTAGAAGCTGGGAGTAATGTGTCAGACAATCTGGAGTCTGTGTATCTGCCCAGCTTGTTTGGAATGAAGAGGTCCTGGATGCCTCCTTCCTTCCTTCCTCTTCATCTTTGTGATATAGCCCGTACGTGTATGGTGGCAGGACTACACCTTAGGGTAACCAACCTGCCAGGCTTGGTCTGGATTCTCCAGGAGTTGAGGCTCATCCTCCAGGACATCAGTGTATGCGATCCTGGAGAACAATTACAGGAATTTTAAAAGTATTGCTTTTAATTTGCAATTTTCTTTAAATGTTTGTCAAGTGTAAAAATATTGAAAAATAGGAAAAAGTGGCTTCTTGCCTGACAGGCAAGCATTATGCATTTAGTTAATGAGCATTTTTGCTTTCCAATTGTCATAGGTGGCAGTGCATCTAAAAAGATGGACATATTTGCTACTAATGGCTGAAGCCTGGGGGCAAGTCTTCTGATAAAACATCCAGGAATAATTTTAAGCACAGTTGGCAATTCTATAGCATCCTTGTGATGTGTGAGTGGGGGCTGCAATAGATTACCACAGTCTTGGGAACATACTCTGAGAGAAATGGAGAGGTCCACTTGAGCAGTCTAGCTAACACAGTTGTTGCTTCGGGGCATCAGTGGTTTGCTTCATGGCTCTTGTTGCAAAAACATTGTCCTTGCCTGGTCAGGTAGCAGGTGGGAGTCACGAGTCAGGGGTAGAAGGGATACTTCTCAGCATCCGAAAGCCAGCCTCTGATTTGTCATGGTGGACCAAAGATAACCAGAAGGCTTGGCTAACAATTTTACAGTTTCAGCCTTCCATTATTTGTTTAACAACTAAATTATGCCTTTGCTTTCACAATGTCACTATTTTTAAAATGCTGACATTCTATGTCATTTAATGAGCTACATCAAATTATCCTCTCATTTTTAACTATATACATATATAGAAAAGTTGTGTCTCTCCCAATAGCCACAGAATATTAAATATTTGACATAATTTTCAGAATTTTACAGTGTTACCCTCAAAACCTCCCAAACAAGATGGGAGCCCAGCAGTTATCACTAACCTCTAATGTGTTATCAGACTTCTAATTTCAATTTTAACTTCCCCTCCTCCAGTGATCGAAAATGCCCTCAACCGCATCTCTTGCATTTCCTGCACTTCTGCCCTCACACCCCCTCCCTCCAATAAAAATAAAGACAGAATCCCCCTTGTCCCCACATATCATCCCACCAGCCTCTGCATCCAACGTATCATTCTCTGCCACTTCCGCCACCTACAATCCAACCCCAAAACCAAAGAGATATTTCCCTTCCTACCCTTTTCTGCCTTCCGTAGGGACCGCGCTCTCCGTGACTCCCTCGTCCGCTCCACGCTCCCCACTAACCCCACCACCCCCGGTACCTTTCCCTGCAACCACAGGAAGTGCTGCAGTTGCCCCTACGCCTTCCCACTCACCCCCATTCAAGGCACAAAACAAACCTTCCATATCAGACAGGGGTTCACTTGTACATCCGTCAATTTGGTCTACAGTATCTGCTGCTCCCGATGTGGCCTCGGTGAGACCAAGCGTAGACTCGGAGACCGTTTCTTAGAACATCTGTGCTCTGTACGTGACCAATGACAACACCTTCCGGTTGCCAACCATTTTAACTCTTCCTCCCTCTCCCTTGGTGACATGTCTATCCTGGGCCTCCTCCAGTTCCACAATGACGCGACATGCAAACTGGAGGAGGAACACCTCATATTCGACTTTTGGAGCCTACAGCCCAATGGCCTAACCATGGAATTCACAAGTTTTAAAATCTCCCCAACCCCCGGCCTCATCCCATATCCAACCCTCCCTCTCATCCCCGCCTCTTTGACCTGACACAACCTGTCCATCTTCTCTCCCACCTATCCGCCCCACCCATCCCACTGACCAATCCCCACTGCCTACATGCATTCACCTATCACCATTCCACCTACCTTCCCCAGCCCCACCCCTCCTCTCTATTTATTTTCCAACTGCCTTCCTCCTCCCCATTTGTGAAGAAGGGTCCCGCCCTGAAACGTCAACTTTCCTGCTCCTCTGATGCTGCCTGGCCTGCTGTGTTCCTCCAACTCCGTACTGTGTCGTCTCTGACTCCAGCATCTGCAGTTCTTGCTATCTCAATGTAATTTTGACATTATTTTCCAAAGTTCTCTATATGATCAATGAACTTCAGTCAGTCATAGAAGCAGTTGTGAACAATGCATTGCCAAATACATTTTATTTTCATATCTGGATTTTGAACTATTTTTGATGATCTTGTGAAATATATTTTTGGAAAAGATCAAGATTACAACAATATAGCTATATTTAGCAACTCTTGAAATGCTGTCCTAGGTATCTGTCCAGTCTGCACACAATCAGTTTAAGCATTTCTGAATAACTTCAAAATTAGTGGTGGTGTAAGCCTCTGGAATCCTGCTAACGGCTAGATTATAATTGCCTGATCTTTTATTAAATTTAAAGTTTCATCAACTGTAAGGAAGCAACATTTATTGACCATTTTTAGGCTCTATTCAGGCATGAAAGTTACAAAAAGCATAAATCATTCTGAAGTACTTTATCATGCTCTTTAACATGGAATCTAAAATATTTATTTTAAACTACAAACTACTTCCTGCACTTAAAAAAAAAAGCAAAGTTTCTCCTTGACAGGTCCTGGAGGAAGTTGTTCGCAAATTGGTCAC